CAGAAAACGAATATTAGTGGAGGTTGGGGTCCCACTAGGTTGTAGGGTGGGAAGAAGGCGTGGCGACATTTTTCAGATCGCCTGGGGATTGTTTTCTAATGTTAGTGATCATAGGTGCATGTCTCCTGACCCTGTGGTTATTGCTCCTTTTTCCTTCATTGGTTTAAAATAAAGTTTATCATTTACTACTCCACTAGTTACTAATATTTTCGAGACTAAAACCCTTTTAAATCATTGAAACTAGCGATGGCTGTTTTAGTGTTCACAGGCGATGCTTGCTTGGCGTACGTACGAATTCTCTCTTTGTGTTAATTTGGCGGCTCCCCTTCAGGTGTTACATATCTGCTCGGGAATCACTGTACTTCACTCTGAGAAAAGAGTATGGTGTGCTGAAGAAAGCGCTGTACACTCAGGAGTCTTGGTCTCAAGTCCTCTTATTACTGGCGCTTAACCCCTTGTGGACTAGTTCTTTGGTAAATAAGGGGTTAAACTAGATAATTACTTTCGGAAGTGTTATTTGGTAATATTGAGCATTGAGATGTATAAGAAGAAGGTGAATCACTGGAGCGTTTTGCTGTAATTTGCATGTAAAAATATCATGTGCCTTTTAACTTTTTTTAAAAAAAAAGGTATAAAGAAAATAAAAACTACCTTTAATCCCACTACCCAGGGTTAGGTTTCCACCTTTCCTTGTGCTTAGCATGTGTATATGGGTGTGTGACTGAGATCATACTGCATAGTTTGCAACCTGTTTATTTCACTTGCATTTTTCCATTAGCTTCCCATGACTCCCAGTGACTTATGTTCTATTTAATCACTTAACTATTGTTGGATAGTTTACAGCTTTTATATATTTTCAGTTAATATATCCTACATGTATCTTTGAATCACTGATTATTTCCAGCAGTGGAACTGGGTGCATGAACGATGTAACTTAAATGTTACAATGTATTTTAGCAGATAGGTCAAGGTTATTCATTTTTACACAGCTGTTTTTCCTTGAACAAGCAAACTATTTCTGCTATCACTCTTAGGGCTTCAAATGTTAAAACTGACAATTCCCAGTTTGTAGGTGTTCCTTATGGGATTAGAAGCATCAAGAACAAGGAGATTCAATTTAAGGTGAGCAGAATTAGTGTTTTAGTCTGTGCCCAAATAGGCCAAATTTATTTTGGGTTTACATCTGCATCTAGTCCATATGTTAGCAGGTTGAAGTGCTCTTGCATAGTGGGAATAGCTTCAAGTGATTGGCATAATTTCTAAGACCACCTCAGTGGCAAATTATAAAAAGCATGATATTTTAGAGGTAACACCTGGAGGGCAAAATATTTAAATAATTTGAAACAAAACTTGGGTTAGAATCCTGTATGTCATATAGTGCTATTGTTGAACATCTATTAAAAAGCATTTCACAGTTATCTGGATTTACTGTATTTTCCCTTTAGTAGTGGAGGGTTTCTGTGCTGTTACCTTCTTTCCTTTAGAATTGTGTGTGTAAAGGGCAGGTTTTGTTCCTTCCCTTTGGCTCTCATTATCTAGGTGGTGAGAGTATTTATGGGGCGTACAGTTGGAAGCAGAATCATAACTCAGGTTTGAGATCATCTTACTTGGGAAATTATTTAGGTAAATATAAGGAGAAATCCATAAATTTCCAAAATTCTTTAATGGATAAGCTTAATGCCCAGCAACTTTAAAAACACACTAATAAAAACAGCAAGTCACATTGGCCAAAGGTACAAAGATTATAGAACAGAAATAGTGCTGACTTTACTTACTAATCTGACAAGTAGAGAAAAGACCAGGTCAGTTTTTCTTTCTCTGGCATGATTTCTCTTAAATTGCTGAATTTGAGAGTGGTATTTTGGCAGTTAAGTGGTATCTGATAACAGTGTGATACACACTTAGGAAAGATCAGTGATGGGTGAAGTCCTTACTCTAATGTTCCATGGGCTTTTGAGTTAGTTGTTTCTATTTAAATAAAAGGATATAAATAACCAGGTTATTCCAAACAATCCTATGAAAGGAGAGACAGGTTAAAAAAAAAAAAAAAAGACTTAAGAAGGAGAAAGAGGGAAGGGAAGCTTCTTGGGCATGACACCATTTGCAAGGTCACAGCGAACACCCCAACGGAGGGCAGATCTTTTCTTCTCAGTTGGTACTAGATAATTGTTTGGAACATATATATGCTGAGGCTTGAATTGGGGTTCTGCTCGAGAAAGCATTTGTTCTCGGATACCCCAGCGTAATTCCTTCCTATGGTCTTCACCAGGTAACCGCATTGCATCCCAGTCTCGTTTATACTCAAAATAGCGAGCTACCCGGTCTACCTTGCCTCGGTTTCGGCTTAATTGGTCCAGCCTTGGGAGAATAAAGGACTTAGGTCGGCTGGCAACAATCAGGTCTTGTTCATAAGCTGGAGAGCCCATTCCTTCTCTTCGTAGATAGCAGATGAGCTGATCTTCAGAAATTCCTTGGTATTCATGTGGAGGATTACATTTTTCTGAAGTGTCAACAGGGGATTCCCTGTCTTCCTGGAACTGCAGGTTCATCAGCCTTTCTCTTAAGTCCCAGAGATCCATATCACTTTCTGTACCAGACTCTGATCCACTGATAATCGACTCATCTGTCACTAATACTTCCCCATCTGGCTTCCTACGCAGCACCTTTCTCTTCATCACTGGCTTTCGGATCCTTTGGGAGGCTTCTGAGACTGTTTCTGAAGTGATATTACTTTCTGCATGTGGGTACTGCAGTTGCACAGGTAGAACATGTCGCTTTCCTGGGGTAACCGAAGCTTTGCTGTAGGGATCATATTGCATAGACTGGGCTTCTCGCCTGACATCTCCCTCACCATGCCCTGCACAGATACGAGTGAAAGCTGTAGCAGCCACTAACATTCGTTCTTCTGGATCCATATTGGCCCATTTTTGTGCACCAGGTGCCACGAGTTCCTCCATTGGTCCCCCTACACTGTAGGACCTTCTGCAAGAGAAAAAACTCATCAGTTCTGATAATAAATTACCAGCTTATTCCCTTCTTTGGTTCATTCCCTTCTTGTCTTTATAGTGGCCAGGAGAAAGAACGGCTAAGGCAATCATAATGCAATAGTTGTATAATAAAATATCGGTTAGTACTAGGTAGAATGAGAACAGTTTGGAGGGGCATTAACTCAACTCTAGAAAATCTATTACTGCTTTCATTTCATTTCTTATTCACTCCTACTTTCAACTGCCTGGTAGTTCTTGCCACCTTTAGTAGTTCCTAGGACAGGATAGGTGAGTTATGGCTTTAAGAAAAGCTTGATACATGAAAGGGGTGTAATGCTTAATATACATTTTGTATCTAGCATTGTTCTATGTGCTTTATATTAATTCATGTAATTCTCACAACTGTGGGATAGGTACTCTGATTATCTCCTTTTCACAGATTAGTAGCATGAGGCATACAGAGGTGAAATAACTTTGCCCAAGATTAAGTGGAGCTGGAATTCGAACTCAGGCAATCCGGCTTCAGAGTGCTTGCTTATAATAACGAGAGTGATTTAATCCAAAACCCCCACAAAAGCGGTAATACGCATGCATAGTCTTATGCGTAAGTCATCTGGATGCATCTTCAGTTCCCAAGCAAATCTGTTCATTCTAGTACCCTGTCAATGAAATAATTTTTAGTGCCCAAATCAACTAGCCAAATATCCAATGCTGGTTTCCTGACTGGATCTAAGACAGGTATCTCCTGCCCATCATTTATTTCCTGTGTCCCTACCATTTTTCTTTTTAGCTGACAAAATACATGCACATGGTCATTTGAAGCAAAGTTCCCCTCTTGTCCTGTGAAGTTTCCCTCCCAAAGGCAGTTTCTTATAATTTCTCCAGTAATGTTTCATATTCATATGCACATTTTTTACCACAAAGGAGCATGTTATGAACCTTTCCTGAGCCTTAAAGATCACCTTGGTGACCCAGTTCTATTAGCACATGTAGACTTCATTCATTTTGTTTAAAGCTGCATAGAATTCCAATGTATAGATGTACTATTAATTTTTCAACTAGTCCACAATTGATTAAATTTAGGCTTACAGTCTTGTTTTAAAATAATGTTAAAATGAATAACAAATTTTTCCATACTTGTGCAAGCATATGTGTATGTTGAAAGCTAGAAATGTAATAGGTGGGTCAAAAGGCATGGGTGTGCTCATTGTGATAGCTGTTACTAAATGCCCTCGAAAGTTGTGTTATAGTGTATTATAGAGCTTGTTTCTCCATCCCTTCTCCAAAGTGGTGTGCTAGCAAACTTCCTAGCCTTTGCAGTCAGTTTGGTACAAAATAGTTCTCGTGTAAATTAACATTTATTTAAACTGAAAAATTGAGCATCTTTTCAGACATTTATTTTTTCTCTCTTTTTATAAAATGCTTGTTTCCCCACTTACCTCTCAAGTTGTTGGACTTTTTCTTATTGCTCTTTATATTAAAACCTATTTATATATTCATGAAATACTTATATATTAAGGAAGTTAGCCCCTTTACCATTATCTATTTTTTATTCTCAGTTTGTTGTTTACCTTACCTTCTGACTTTATTTTTTGCTGGCAGAAACTTGTTTCTGCAGTGTTTTACTTAGAAATGCCTTTCCCACTTGAAGATTTTAGAAAGCTATTCCATGTTTTTTTCTAGTACTTTCATAGTTTCATGTTTTAAATTTTTAATCCATCATAGATGGAGAAATTCAAAGGGCAAAAATTAAATGTGCTACCCAGACTTAGATAACATAGTTAGCTTTAGAACAGATGTGATGATCTGCTATTACTGCAGTAACCATCAGTCATATATTGTCCAGTACTGTCCCAATTTTAAGGATGTAGTACAGCTGTCCTGAGTTTTTTAAAACATGCCAGGAATTTCAACAGTGACATCTAAATTACATTATCCAAACTGACTCTTCTAACTGCTAGAGGTACAGAATATGCATTATATTTGACTTAAAAGAATCATGATGCTTAATTACCGTCTTTCTGCCATCAAAACTGGTTAAAGTGGGAAAATCGTGACTCCAGGTTCTAATTCCAACACAAAGTACGATCACTGACAAATTTCTTCAGTCAGGCTAGCTTCTGTTGTACCACCTTTAAGACAGAACTGAGTATTAGATGATAGAACACGGAAGCCACTAATTTTATCTGAAATACTGGAAAGCAATAGAAATTCACAGTAGATATATACATTCCATATAAACAAGTCTTATGACTAGGCAGATTAGACAAACATAATAGGAAGTCAAAAGGAAATGTTTTTAGGGAAAAAATAATAATACCAGTCCTTAATCATCTCAGCTAATGAAGAATAGAGATATGAAATCTACAGTCATTTCCCCTAAATTCTGACTACTTAAACCTTAATGATACTAGCTGAGTATTTTTTGATGCTACTTCTCTTTTCCCCTGTGAATTAGCCACTCAGGATGGAAAAGAATAATATCTGAGGATGAGAAACCCATAATAATTAAGCTAATGCTTATATCCCTGGCAGAAGCAAAAGCCTATCCTTTAGGCATTACATTAAATCTTAGATAGTATTTGAACATAATGGAAAGATACTGACGTGGCCAAAGGAATCAGCACTGAAAATGTTGTGTCCTTTTACTCTCTTTTTAGGTAGTGTGGACCCATATGATTCATTTATTCCTGGCGTTGTCTTATCATGGCTGAAAATGACATAGACAGAATCCAGACTGAGAAACTCCTAAAAAGAGTACAAGAACTGGAACAGGAGGTACAAAGACTTAAAAACAAACAGGCCAACACCAAGGACTCAAACGTTAGAGAGAATTCTTCAGGAGTTGGAAAAGCTAAGCGTGCATTTGATTTCAGTGCTCATGGTCGAAGACATGTAGCCCTAAAGATAGCCTATCTGGGCTGGGGATACCAGGGCTTTGCCAGTCAAGAAAACACAAACAATACAATTGAAGAGAAACTGTTTGAGGCTCTAACCAAGACTCGACTAATAGAAAGCAGACAGACATCCAACTATCACCGGTGTGGGCGGACAGACAAAGGAGTTAGTGCCTTTGGACAGGTAAGGGCCACTCTACTGTTTTCAAATCAAGCTATTCCAATGTATTCTAGGTGTACATACTGAGGCCTCAGATAATTTGTATCTCTAAAACAGTCTTTCTCTAATTCCACAGGTGATTTCTCTTGACCTTCGTTCTCACTTTCCGAAGGGCAGGGATTCAGAGGATTTTAACTTGACAGATGAAGTCAACGATGCCGCTAAAGAAATCCGTTATACCCACATTCTCAATCGGGTGCTCCCTCCAGACATCCGTGTACTGGCCTGGGCCTCTGTAGAACCTAGCTTCAGTGCTCGGTTCAGCTGTCTTGAGCGGACTTACCGCTATTTCTTCCCTCGTGCTGATTTAGATATTGTAACCATGAACTGTGCAGCTCAGAAGTATGTTGGCACGCACGATTTTAGGAACTTATGTAAAATGGACGTAGCCAACGGAGTGATTAATTTTCACAGGACTATTCTTTCTGCTCAAGTACAGCTAGTGGGCCAGGGCCTGGCTGAAGAGAGATGGCAAGAACCTTTCCAGATATGTCAGTTTGAAGTGACTGGCCAGGCGTTCCTTTATCATCAGGTCCGTTGTATGATGGCTATCCTTTTTCTTATTGGCCAAGGAATGGAGAAGCCAGAGATTATCGATGAGCTGCTAAATGTAGAGAAAAATCCCCAGAAACCTCAATACAGGTAAATTAAAAACAAAAGCCAAAATAACAAAACGGCTATTGCCCTTAGATTATGTTAAAATATATTCTAGCATATCTTTCTCTGTCCACAATTGTCTGAATAACTAAGTAACTGGTTCTGTCTTTATGAAGCTTTTAATCTAACCTGTAGAATGTTATGAACATGTAGGAGGGAGTGGTATCTTTGAATTTTCTTCTCACACTTCTATCCCAAGAGCAAGAAATTGGTGTTTGGACCAGGCCCCTTAAATAAAAGCACATTCATGTCTACATTTTTATCCCCTTGAATTTATGTTAAGAGGTATGTTTAGGTTCTGCTGAAGTTAGACAGTGGGCATTCAAACTATTTATATTAAATTTTGTTTGCTTTGAATTATGGAGGAGTCATAATACTGTACTTTGGAGTTTTTCCTATCTTTCAGTTTCTGAAATGGAATAATAGTCAACTTTTCTTTTGAGAGCAGGCTGAGGTCAGATAGACCAATAATTCATGCCTAAGCAGTGAAATCTGAGATTTTACTTCATAGTATACAAAATTGACAAGTTTGGGAAAAACACTACCAGCTGTTTTAATTTCATAGCAATATGGTGGCTGGAGCCAGGTCAACTCTCCTTGTTATCATTGAAATTTACCCTAATATAGACCAAGCCTAGCCAGTTGATCCAGAGTTTGTTGTCATTTTCTTTTTTCAGTTATAATGTTGTGCAAGATTAGGGATGGTGTTGTATTTTCTTAGCTCTTACTCAATATTGACATAAAGTTTTTCCCCTTCTTTTAACTCAACTCTTTTTAAAGAATTTGTTGGATGGCTGCTCTATATTCTCACACACTGTTTCATCTCTCTTTCTAGTATGGCTGTAGAATTTCCTCTGGTCTTGTATGACTGTAAGTTTGAAAATATCAAGTGGATCTACGACCGGGAAGTTCATGAGTTCAATGTTACCCACCTTCAGCAACAATGGGCTAATCAAGCTGTTAAGACTCACATTTTGTATAGCATGCTGCAAGGACTCGACTCTGTTGCAGTACCCTGTGGGACAGGTATGACGGAAATCCATGGATAAATTTATTTACCAGAACCAAAGTTATACAGGGTAATGGGGGAGGTAGATTTATATAAAGTTTGATTCTTTTGTAGTAAAGTACCCATGTAATGTTTGATTGTATATATTATAGGACCAAAGACGGACGGAGTGATAGAATGGAGAAATGTTAAGCCTTCTGTCATAAAGCAGACCAGTGCCTTCGTAGAAGGAGTGAAAATGCGCACATATAAGCCCCTAATGCATCGTCCTAAATGCCAAGGATTAGAATCCCGGATCAAGCATTTTGTACGTAGGGGACGCATTGAGCACCCACGTTTATTCTGCAAGGAAGAAACAGAAGCCAAAAGGGACTGTAATGACACACTAGTAGAAGAAGGAACTATTTTGGAGAAACCAACAAAGAGAGTCTGTGTTGATACAGAGATTAATAGGATCATTTAACTACAGAAAACTCACCAAAATCTAGGAGGCAACAGCTTGCTAATGGCAGATAGGAAAGGAAATCTTTACTGCAAGAATTCTCAGAATCTAGATGATCAGCTTTTAAAAAAACAGAAAACTAAAAAGATTATAGGCCCTATTAAGGAAGTTCTTGCTTGAACAAGAGATCAAACATTCTCTCATTTCTGTCCCAAAGGAATGAGAGATAGAAACAAAGGTAAATGTAAAATGGGGATGTATCTACGTATACCCAGAAACCTGTGCCTTGTCTTTAAATTCATTAAAGCTTGATCTTGCAAGTGTCTGATTTGTTATACTGTTCTTTTTAAAAGGAAATTAGTTGTTATTACTTATTAAGTTATTACTTATCTGGATTTGCCTAAAAATCTTGGCCTAAGTGTCTTATTTCTAAGACATTAAAAAAAAAATATATGAAATTTAGTTAAACATTTGATAAGTTGGTTTAGTGCCGGGCACAACACTACCTGACAGTGACCTAACTGAATAAGGCACAGCATCTCTTACAAAGCTTATATATCTCATGCTGTATGAGCAACAAATGGTCTCTGCTATATATATATATATACACACACACACACACATATATATATGTATATATATATTTTTTACAACCTTTTACATATCTAAAAATCATTAACTCATGGGCCATATAAAAATAAGCCATGTAGTTTACCAACCCCTGGCCCAGAGGTTTAAGGAAAGCTCTTATAAATAGGTACCCAAGCTAAATCTTGTAGAACAAGGGAGAGCCAGTTGAAGTGAGAACGAGAAGTAGAGCTTTAGTGTGTCTAAGGCAGAGATGCAGTTTGTATAAAGGGTTAAAGATTACTGCATCTGCATTTAGGTAACTACTGTATTATGGCTTGAGAGTAACAGCATAGTTTAGAAGGGTAAGCAAGGGTCAAGTCTATAGAGTCTTCTTGCACACTTTCCTACAAAAGCTTAGATTTTATCTTGTGGCACCACTGGAAAAAAGAATTGTAGTAAAAATATTTCCCTAGATATAGTGTGGATTGGAAGAGGGCAAGACAGACCAATTAGGAGGCTGTTGGAGTAATCAGGGAAATTCATGATGGCCTAGACTAGATTTGTAGTAAGGGGAACAGAGAGAAGTGGATGAATTTGGGATTAAGAAAGGAGAAGCAACGGACTTTATAGGTGAATGAATGTGAGGCTTTCAGGATAACTCCTAGATTTCAGATTTAAAGCACATGTGAGACACTGGGACAGGAAAATGACATGGGACTCTGCTTATTCTCAAAGTTGATAAGTAACCCTGAAAATACAAACACCAATATTTATTCAAAACATATTATTCTCTTAAATAATACATTATCCTTTATAGCAATTAATAAACATCAAGTAAATGAACTCAGACCTTCTGCCTAAGTGATAACAGCTTTCATCATTGCAGACTGTATCACTTATCCACAATTACAATATACTACATGTTTATGTGATCCAAAGTTTTATTTACCAAACAACAGTTTATTCCTACCTATGTTGAAAACTCCAGGTATATAAATAGGGTTTATATTCTCAAGTTGCTACCTAAAACACAACTAACATGGGACAGTTGGAAATAATACTAACATAAATTGTAAACATGCTATATAAGTGCTACAGAAACTTGGTAGTGAGTGGGCTACAGATGCAAGACTTTCCCGAAAGAGTTCCAGGTTTAGGAAGCAAAATAGTATAAGAAAAGTAATGTGAATTTGTATTGAAGAGTAAGAAGACAGAATAGCTTTTACTTTCTGGCAGAGGAGGAATGGAAAAGATCCCCATTTTAGAGATGGGGAAATAGTGATACCAAATAAGATTTATTCTAAATAACCAATC